CTCCCGTCCTGCCTGTCCTCCCTGTCCTCTCAGTCCTCCCTGTCCTCCCAGTCCTCTCAGTCCTCCCCGTCCTCCCGAGTCACTAGTTGGTCACGTGACTCGTCGGTGTGGTGGAGATGATCACATCCTCCTGTAGAGCAGTAATCTGGGGTTATGTGGGCAGCAGCGTTACGTAACCAACCGGCTTTTTATCACCACGATCTGAGCTGCTGTCAAAGCTCAAAACACAGATTTTCAAGTCAAATCACAGGAAGATGGAGAGACGGAACGGAGGACTCCTTCTGTTGTGCACCGTTACATAAGCAGCTTTGATTATTATTAATTAGCATAAAGGGGAATTAAGGAGGCGTCTGCTATGAATCTTTCTATTCTACTGGATCTCTGCTGCTCGTCTTGTATTAAACCACCTTCTGCTAATTAGTGATTCACAGAATTAAAAGAACCATTACTGACATGAGACGTCTTTTACTGTGAGTTAAAGTTATAAAGACTTATGTGATTTATTAATGTGCACCTTTGATACAAAATTGTAATAAAAAAAGATAAAATAAATTGAGATATTGTTATTAGTTTGACTTATCAGTCACCTGACTCGTTAGTGTCGGTGGTCACGTGACTCGTTAGTGTCTGTAGTCACCTGACTCGTTAGTGTCGGTGGTCACGTGACTCGTTAGTGTCTGTAGTCACCTGACTCGTTAGTGTCTGTAGTCACGTGACTCGTTAGTGTCGGTAGTCACCTGACTCGTTAGTGTCGGTAGTCATGTGACTCGTTAGTGTCGGTGGTCAGGTAAGTCGTTAGTGTCTGTAGTCACCTGACTCGTTAGTGTCTGTAGTCACGTGACTCGTTAGTGTCGGTAGTCACCTGACTCGTTAGTGTCGGTAGTCACCTGACTCGTTAGTGTCGGTGGTCACGTGAGTCGTTAGTGTCTGTAGTCACGTGACTCGTTAGTGTCGGTAGTCACCTGACTCGTTAGTGTCGGTAGTCATGTGACTCGTTCGTGTCGGTAGTCACCTGACTCGTTAGTGTCGGTAGTCATGTGACTCGTTAGTGTCAGTGGTCACGTGAGTCGTTAGTGTCGGTGGTCACCTGACTCGTTAGTGTCTGTAGTCACGTGACTCGTTAGTGTCGGTAGTCACCTGACTCGTTAGTGTCGGTAGTCATGTGACTCGTTAGTGTCGGTGGTCACGTGAGTCGTTAGTGTCGGTAGTCACCTGACTCGTTCGTGTCGGTAGTCACGTGACTCGTTAGTGTCGGTAGTCATGTGACTCGTTAGTGTCGGTAGTCACCTGACTCGTTAGTGTCGGTAGTCATGTGACTCGTTAGTGTCGGTGGTCACGTGAGTCGTTAGTGTCGGTAGTCACCTGACTCGTTCGTGTCGGTAGTCATGTGACTCGTTAGTGTCGGTGGTCACGTGAGTCGTTAGTGTCGGTAGTCACCTGACTCGTTAGTGTCGGTAGTCAGGTGAGTCGTTAGTGTCAGTAGTCAGGTGACTCGTTAGTGTCGGTAGTCACCTGACTCGTTAGTGTCGGTAGTCATGTGACTCGTTCGTGTCGGTAGTCACCTGACTCGTTCGTGTCGGTAGTCACCTGACTCGTTCGTGTCGGTAGTCATGTGACTCGTTCGTGTCGGTAGTCACCTGACTCGTTCGTGTCGGTAGTCACCTGACTCGTTCGTGTCGGTAGTCATGTGACTCGTTAGTGTCGGTGGTCACGTGAGTCGTTAGTGTCGGTAGTCACCTGACTCGTTCGTGTCGGTAGTCAGGTGAGTCGTTAGTGTCAGTAGTCAGGTGACTCGTTAGTGTCGGTAGTCACCTGACTCGTTAGTGTCGGTAGTCATGTGACTCGTTCGTGTCGGTAGTCACCTGACTCGTTCGTGTCGGTAGTCACCTGACTCGTTAGTGTCGGTAGTCATGTGACTCGTTCGTGTCGGTAGTCACCTGACTCGTTCGTGTCGGTAGTCACCTGACTCGTTAGTGTCAGTAGTCACGTGACTCGTTCGTGTCGGTAGTCACCTGACTCGTTCGTGTCGGTAGTCACCTGACTCGTTAGTGTCGGTAGTCATGTGACTCGTTAGTGTCGGTGGTCACGTGAGTCGTTAGTGTCGGTAGTCACCTGACTCGTTCGTGTCGGTAGTCAGGTGAGTCGTTAGTGTCAGTAGTCAGGTGACTCGTTAGTGTCGGTAGTCACCTGACTCGTTAGTGTCGGTAGTCATGTGACTCGTTAGTGTCAGTAGTCACGTGACTCGTTCGTGTCGGTGGTCAGGTGAGTCGTTAGTGTCGGTGGTCAGGTGAGTCGTTGTCAGTACAGAGTCGTGTGAGTCTCTTGAATCCCTTTTGTCTGCAGAAGTGGACCAGAAGCTTTTCAGCCTTCATGAGGCGAGTCCTCTGAAGCCGGAGGATCCACAGCGATGAAGAAGAAGAACCAGAAGAAGCTTTCAGATCGGGTTTGGATTCATACACATGAAGCCTCGTGGAGATCTGAGGTGTGAGTCGGTACACTTTGAGGAAGAGAACCTGGTGTTGGTGGGAACTCTTAATAGTCTCACGTGCTTCTGTAATCGCTCTCCACACTGCAGCAGAGAAGCACGAGACTCATTAAATCCCTCCAGACCTCCTCAAACATTCATTCTGAAAGTCCTACCTGGAGGAGGCCAGATGCTCGAGTATCTCGAGTAAAGATCATACTAGCTAGTGATTCATGGTCTGTAAACCTGTGGATTACTTTTTCCATTAGCTGTTTAGTTTATGAAAATAAAACAAGTCCTCAAATCTCTGGTTTGCTCACAACAATCTGATAATATTCATATTTAAGACAACTGGAGACTTTTTACTTTTTGCATCAAACTGATTCCTCAACTCAACGGTAGCCGATAATTATACTTGAATAAAGATAAGATAATAAAAGACATATGGATGGATCGCTGCAGTAAACTTCTAATGCATTTCATTGTTGAAGAAGAAACGTGTGAGCAGTTTGTACACCTCGTTTCTTTAGATCAATGACAGAACAAATAAACACAATCTTCTTCGTCACTACGCAGCTGGTTTTAAAATCAGAGACGCTACATCGTTGTGCTAAATATGGGCCGCTAGTCAGTTTGTCACAAAAGGAGCCGCACTACCCACGATGCACTGGTGCATGCACGCTGCGTTCACACCTTCCTGACGAAACGAGGGGGCGTCGATGAAAACTTCTCTGCGGACCAAATGAACAATGAAGAGGAGAACTACAGGTACGAGTTTCAACACCACAAGGTCAAAGGTCAAAGGTCAGAGCCAGCGAGGAGGGCGAAGCAACCAAAAGCACCGAAGAAGAGCAGCGTCGCTGCTATAAAAACCTCACAGGGCTGCGTGGACTCGGGTATAATAAGCTCTTTGTACATTACAGTGATGGTTTCGTGTCCACCACCTTGACAGGCGTGTGATGTTGTTACTGTGCATGCGATGTAGAGAGCGACAGGTGTAACGTGGAGACCGGAGGAGACCAGCACTCACGCGTTGCAGTAGGGCTTCTTGTCGTAACCTTTGTAGTTCTTCATGTTGAGGGTCATCTTACAAACCTCGCAGTGGAAACATCCTTTATGCCAGTTCTGCAAACAACACACACACGTCAATGTTGGATACGATGAGGCTCTGAAAGTAAAGAAGAGTCTTAAAGCTGCGTTCTCTGTTGTGACCAGCAGGGGGCGACTCCTCTGGTGCCACAGACGTCCATGAGAAAATACATACTTCTTCTTCAATACATGATGCTGTTCATTTAGTAAATTATGGTCCAGAAACCCAGATTGTGACGTCCTGAGAACAAGATGGCAACAGCTAAAACGGCAAACCAAGAGCTCCATATTAGTGGAACACTGACTAATGGTTGACGCCATGCTGGAAACAACCACTTCCTGTCTACGGTCTTAAAGATCCAGAAAAAGGCGTTCTCAGGCGCGTCGCTGTTTGTGGGACACTTTGACTGTGGGACACTTTGACAACCAAACCATCTCCATGACAACCCTATGCCTCTGCACCGCCCTCCTCGCGACCCGCCTGTCAGTCAAACGTCGCGGGCGGGACTGTCCGCCTCGCACTTCCCGGTTAATTTGAGATTTGGCGGCGAGGGTTCGGGGCTAAATATAAAAGGCAGTGGGAGGCTGGATTAAAATGTGACGGGCCGCAGGAGGAAAACTGAAGTAAGTCAGTCAGATCTCCCTCAATCGGTCCTGAATCAGTATTATTTAAACGCTCGGTGGTCAAATGATGTCTTAGTTGTTGAGATGATCACATGATCACATATCTCCACCAGAGAACATATGTTCCTTCTTCATCTTTGAATTAAGTATATTCAGTACCTTTAATGACCACATTTAATTAAAGCTGCATTCTCTGTAGTGACCAGCAGGGGGCGACTCCTCTGCTCCCATAGACGTCTATGAGGAAATGACTCTACTTCTCTGTAGTGACCAGCAGGGGGCGACTCCTCTGCTCCCATAGACGTCTATGAGGAAATGACTCTACTTCTCTGTAGTGACCAGCAGGTGGCGACTCCTCTGCTCCCATAGACGTCTATGAGGAAATGACTCTACTTCTCTGTAGTGACCAGCAGGGGGCGACTCCTCTGCTGCCATAGACGTCTATGAGGAAATGACTCTACTTCTCTGTAGTGACCAGCAGGGGGCGACTCCTCTGCTCCCATAGACGTCTATGAGGAAATGACTCTACTTCTCTGTAGTGACCAGCAGGGGGCGACTCCTCTGCTCCCATAGACGTCTATGAGGAAATGACTCTACTTCTCTGTAGTGACCAGCAGGGGGCGACTCCTCTGCTCCCATAGACGTCTATGAGGAAATGACTCTACTTCTCTGTAGTGACCAGCAGGGGGCGACTCCTCTGCTCCCATAGACGTCTATGCGGAAATGACTCTACTTCTCTGTAGTGACCAGCAGGGGGCGACTCCTCTGCTCCCATAGACGTCTATGAGGAAATGACTCTACTTCTCTCTTGATTTATTCCCTCAGTAAACATTGTAAACATGAGTTTCTGGTCTCAGTCTCTAGTTTCAAGTCTTCTTCAACACAGCGTGATGTTCATTTAGTAAAATATGGTACATTTATATGTGTATATAGAATACAGTATAAATGCACACTTTAGCAACCAATGATGGTCAGCTTTTTAACTGACATTTTAAATAAAACCAACTTCTATTCAACTTCTAGCTTCTACCTTTTATTCTTATTCTCTTTATATTCTCACAGCTTTTGGGTTCTTCTATTTGCAGCAGATGAAACTGTTATTTTGGGTTTTGCCATCAGAAATGTGGGAGCTTATTCCACATCGTGTCATCTGACGCCTCACAGGACAGACAGTGAATGCAAGAAATGAATAATTCATCCCCATTATGCAACTGACTTATTACTGAGGAGTTGCCATGCAAACACCAAATAACACAAGCAGCACTTTTGTTTACCGGCACGTCGCTGGTATCACTGGTCTGTTATTATCAGGCTTTCTTATATTACATTAATTTAAAAGAACGTATTTTTATATATGAATTATCATTATTCTCAGTAAATAAACCACCAAATGTAACTAAATCCAAAGTGTTTTAAAATCAAGAGGGGAAATTATTATTAGTTGTGTCATTTAGGCTGAAGAAAGAAGATCAAAAGCCTATTTTAAACAGTAAAGTGATAATAACCACAAAGATGCCCCCTTACATCGGTCTTAGGTAATTAATAACTAACCCCGATTAAAGGTTCTCTGATTGATTATTGACCATGAAATTGGTTTTGAGGACAGATCTCTGGCGTCAGTTTGAGCCACGAAGGAGCCCTGCGGGGGGTGGAGGTGGAGGCGGAGGCGGCAGGTGGAGGCTCACCTTGTCCAGGCAGCTGACTTTCTCCGTCGGGTAGACGATCTTCCCGCAGCGGGCGCACGCGGGGTTCATCCTGCGGACCTCCGCTCCGCGACCGGCCGACGAGCCACTGGACCGGACTTTTATTGTCCAGAGAGACGCGGAATGTCCCCCCGCCCCCCGACACGCCCCCCCCCCCGTCCCCGACACGCCCCCTCCCCCGCTGAATCACTCCTGGTGCGCGCGCGTGAGTTTCTGCCGGAGAGACTCGCACCTTCCGGCGTGGAGGCGGGAGGACGACAAGCTGGCGGGAGTTAGCGAGGCGGGAACCGGAAATCAGTGCAGATAAAACCGGAAGTGGCAGTTATTATTTCGCTCGATCTTCTAAAACTAAAATAGTAATGCATTGATTTTTTGTCATAGAATTAAACTAAACAAAGAATGAACTTAACAGTTGACTAATCAAATAGTTGCTATATTACAATTAAACCTGTACTTTATTTAAATTATTTTTCTAACGTTAGCCTAGCCACACATCCTCAACTTACATTCATGTAGTTTTGTAGCAGCGGGTTGAACCTCCAAACATTGATACAACTTCTACTTACTGAGAGTTTTACATATTCTTGTGAAGGCCCCGGTTAAAAGCCTAAATGTTTTAAACTAAACTCACGTCTAGATGAACTCTGACCATTAACAAGCAGTCACCTCCCCCTGCTGGCTGATGAAGGGACACCATCAATGTCTGGAGATAAACACGGGCATTAAAGGTACGATCATATTTATTCTTTAAATGCCTTTAAAGATGAACTTTTAAAACCCGGATGAAAGTAATTGTTTCACTTGAACCACATGAGAAAATAATGTTGACATTTTTTTTAATTCAGTAACTAAATGGCGAAGTACAAAAGCTATATTTAAGTAACTGAATTTTGTTGTTCTTACAACCCAATGAAGCTTTGATCTGCCTTATAGAAAGCATATATAGATATAGGACAGACCTTTTATTTTAAAGAATCAAGTCACGTCATTAAATGTCCAACAGAGACCTTTTAAAGAGATTCACTCCTAAAATATGAAACACTTTAAATTCAATATTTCAAATCAAATAGTGCACCAGTTTTTTTTTTCTCCAAATTTTAGCAAAAGACCAAAAGTGACCAATTTGGTAATCTCATGTCTTAAACATCAGACAATGTCCAGTTACAGTCTCACATCAACCCCAGGTGATCGCAGAGGAACGAGTCCTCCTTGAGGAACTCGACCATCTCGGAACTGGCGTTCCAGTTCCCTGAAAGCCCTGAGACGTCCACCACGACGTGAGTCTCCGTCACCTCCCTCGGGCGCAGGAAGTCGCCCCTCTGGATCTCGCAGTGAGGGAGGTGAAGGCCAAGCACGGATGTATTAGTATTTTTCTTGATATTCAAAATGTCTCTGGATATATAACCGAAAAGGAGACCCGGGAGCGGATACTGGACCCTCCGGAGGGAAGAGGGGCCCCGGAGAACCAGAAGCAGGACTGAGGGGACTGTGAGACCCCGCTGCAGTAGAATGAGGTTTTCTAAAGGGACTCTGGTGGGAGGAGACACTTCCACTTTAGTCCACAGGGGGCGCCAGTCTCCTCCTCCTCTCACTTAAAGTAAAGTGTGGAAGACTTGATTTAAAAAGGCAGTCAAGCATAATAAAGGTTCAACAAAAACATCCTTTTTATCGTCACATATTATAAAAACCCTTTTTCTCCATAAATGAAAATCACAGTTTTAAGAACAAAGAAAACTTCTTTATTAATTTCTCTTAAAACCTCGGACTATTTAAATTAATGCGTGTGTCGGTAGAAAACCAAAGTGTCAAACAACAGCAGAGATGATTAACTTTCATAGTTATTCTTTTAGCAGAAGAAGTCCCCCCCACGCAGCATGATTGATGAGGTTATTGATTATTGATATCGGCCCCCTCCAGCCTCAGTACATGGGAGGTTTCTCTTCTCCTTTCGGATTGGTCACCTTATCCAGATTCTTGCTGACGATGTCGTACAGCTCGGCCTGCGGGGACACGGGTACAAAGCACCGTTTAATTCTTCTTCTCCGCTGACATCAGGACGCAAACACGTCACAGAGATCTGGACTCACGTGGAAGCCGCGGATGTCGAGAACCACGACTCTAACCTCGTGGTAGATAGACTGGTCCTTCTCGTGGACCAGCGAGCGGTAGTCCATCTGGAGGTGAAGAAAGACGCGTTAAAGGGCGACTTTTTCATTTAATCTAAGCTTTAAAATGTGTGATGTTTAAGATCTGGACACAATTTTACTACTAAAGGAAGCATTGAGGCACCTTTCCTATGCTAAAGGAGCTACTAAGGACGCATTGGGGCACCTCTCCTATGCTAAAGGAGCTATTATGGACGCACTGAGGCACCTTTCCTACGCTAAAGGAGCTACTAAAGGACGCTTTGAGGCACCTTTCCTACGCTAAAGGAGCTACTAAAGGAAGCACTGAGGCACCTTTCCTACGCTAAAGGACCTACTAACGGACGCATTGAGGCACCTTTCCTATGCTAAAGGAGCTACTAAAGGAAGCACTGAGGCACCTTTCCTACGCTAAAGGAGCTACTAAAGGAAGCAGGGAGGCACCTTTCCTACGCTAAAGGAGCTACTAAAGGACGCATTGAGGCACCTTTCCTACGCTAAAGGAGCTACTAAAGGACGCATTGAGGCACCTCTCCTATGCTAAAGGAGCTACTAAGGACGCATTGAGGCACCTCTCCTATGCTAAAGGCGCCCGAGTTAGCTCAAGCTGCTCACGGTCGTCTTTCTATCAAAGGAAGCGGAGCGTTGTTGGGGGACTACTTTCAGCGGCGGATGTATCCACATGCGGGCTCATCTCCATCCACACTCACCACATGAGTCTCCTTGGAGGCTTTTCCAACAGCATCTCCCCTCTCTGAGAAGTACCTGAATAACTCAACAGGAACGGCACAAGTTATGGAACGCACCCCGAAGCTAAAGCACCACAGCTACTGTTCTACGGAGCCCAAACAGCTGGTATCTCATCATACTTCATCCACTGCTTTTACACCCGACCCACTTGTTGATGTTGGTCTGAAAAGCTTCCACCTTGGTCCTCACCGCACCGATCCGCTCCAGGATCTTCTCCTGCGGTGGAACAGAATAATGATTAATTGCTCACCCAGCGTTAAGCGTGTGGAGGAGGAGGACGCGAGGCGTACCTGGACGGCGACCCCAAAGTCATTCCCATCTTCTATCTTGGGGATGAGGTGCTGAATCCAGCTGGAGACCTTGGGTATCACAGCAGAGAGGAACTCACGCGGCCGCCTCCATTAAAGAATTTGCGTCGTGCTGGATTTAACGTGAGTCAACATACGGTGATGATGGTCTCCCTCAGGGCGACGATCTCCGGCTTCACCTTCTCCAGCAGCACCAGGATCTTCTCGTTGCCCTCGATGTAGCCACACTTAGGAGCTGCAGGACAAACACCACAAACTGCTGTTGGCTTTCTGCGCACATTAAAAACATCAAACACGTTTTACCTTTCTTCTTTTTCTTCTCATCATCGCCGCTCTTGTCCGTCTCCATTTCCTGCAACATAGATTCTTAACGGTCACAATCTTTTCACTGACGTTTTCTGTTATTTAGCTCTAAATCACTAAAAACAGGAAGGGTTTTTAGACTAGAAGGTACGATTTAAAATCTGCTAAAAAACAGGACAGAATACAGTGGCTGCTCCCATTGACGCCATTTTATTTAGCGGACCACAATGCATTGCAACTGTACAGGTTGCGGAGGTGGACTTTCTTAAATGAACACAACACCAGTTTGTTTAAGGCGATTTTAAATTCTGTGGATGCACAGACGTGAGGATGTGATCCCTGAGGAGGAGGAGGAGGAGCTGTGAGACCTCACCTCCTCATCTGTGCAGGGAGGCTCCGGGATGGGGATGTCCAGAGGAGCCTTGAGGGAGGACATGTCCGTGACACTGAACGCCGGGTCCTGAACAAACAAACACACCCGTGTGGGAGGAGGAGGACGCACACATGAGGCGGGTCCTTGACCTTGGGGGCAGAACACTGACCTTCAGCAGAGCGTCCAGCTGGGCAATCCTCTGGGGGATGTAGCTGGAGAACAGGGTCTCTGCCTGTGGAACACCTGGTTGGTGATTATTGTGATTAAATAACAACAAACAGCAGAATAAATAGGAACACACCTCATGGTTCAGGCTCTGCTGGAAGCTCTCCACCTGTTGAGAAGAAGGAAACCAGGTCGGTTTAAGCTGCTGACTCATGGTGCTGAGGACTCGAGGAGTTTCCTCTCAGAACCTCCCCGCCTCGCAGACCTCGTGTTCGTGGTTCGAAGGAACCATCCGCAGTTAAATGGACTTGGAGATGTTTCAGTCAGCAGACCGACTCACCTTCGCAGCGTTCGCTCGGCTCATCTTCAGGCTGGAGTTCTTCGACATGGCGACTCCGTGAAGTCCAAAGAAGAGTTTGTTTCAGGCGGAGAGACGACGACGCGGCTCGCGGATTTTCCTTTATTTTTATTTCCTCGTCAACTTTGCTTTCGGTTTCATCGTCCCGTGAAGCGGTAGGCGCCTCCCACCGTGTCCCTCCGCCGCGGAAAGTAGGACGCGTCTCTATTTTAGGCGTCAACGCGCGCGCTTGAGACTTGTGGTTTCTTTTTAAGTAAAAAAAACACAACAATATTTCAATGAATAAAACTAGACAATATTACACAAATACATTCCACATTTTTTCCACATCACTTTTAAGATGGCACAACGCGTACCTTTGTAAAGAGTGTTTTTTTGTTTAAATGTATGCCTAAATGATAAAAAGCTGTTGTAAATGCAGGGGTTGCAGGAGATAATTAAGTTATTCTGTACAGTTGTGTATTTTCTTTTCACTTTCTGTTGATATGTCATATTTTCTTTTTCACTAATGAAGAAATAGATGAGCTCTTGATTTTGAATGTGGTACATTTACGGTCAATCGTGGTGGTATTTTGTTTTGATTAAACTCTATTTGATTTAGTTGCATTCATTTTTTTAATTGAATGTATTTAATGTGTTTACATTTCTTACAAGAACAAAGTTGGGGACTCCCGCTTTTATTTCGAAAAATTAATGTCGCGACAGGAAGCGAGGCGGAACCTAAAGCGTCAAACTGGAGTTCCGCGCTGAAGGGACGCTGTTAGCTCCAGCACAACACGGAACTAGTGTAGGTGACACATTAACCGCTGACGTGCATTTAAAGAATATGTAATTCCGTTAACATACATTCTTCTCACTTTTAAACGGAGTAAAATCAACCGTCGGAGCTCGCGACCTCGGTGTGTTACATCAGCAGGTGACGTCATCGTGTTTCTGATGAAAGTTTCCGTTTCAACTGTGAGGAATTGTTTACTCGTTGGCTTCAACTCCGATTGAAACACCTTTTCATCGCGAAGAAACGTTCATACGAGAGTTGTTCTTATGCTTCTGTGTTCGGTCGGTTAGTGTGTCACACTAAGATTAGTCCGGGTTCCAACGCTGGTCATGTGATCAAAGGTGAAGCGCGACACTTACTTTATTTATTTAAACATTTTACATTGTTTGGTTCAAGGGAAATGATCGAGCACATTTTAAGCAATACGATGATCAAAAGTGCTTTCCGTAAAGAATTAATCAAACAAAAAATAATTAAATAATATAAATCTATAAATGCAGTACATTTAAGTAGTAGAACACTTTAATTGAATTTAGTCAAATGTATTTCATCCAGATATTTGCATATTTAGATTATTAATGCTATTTCTCTAATTCCTTTAATTTCTCAGTTAAATTTAACTTGACTTCAGTCATGGGTCCATATAAAAAAAAATAATTACATTACACTTTATATATTATAAACTGTATATTTCTTTTTTTAACTTCAGATTGCTCTGAAAGTGTCAGAGCTTTGACAAAAATGTTTTATGGTTTTTGTTAAAACTGTTTGAACGGAAAGGACGCGGCTAATTCTCCCGTACGTGAGTCACAGCCAGAAAATGTTCAATTGTTTCCTCTTCCTTTAGTTTTACTGCACAGCGATGAGCAGCGGCGCGTCGGGGCAGATGGAGGAGCTGAGGAGGAGGTCCCAGTCGCTCCTCTCCTCCTCGGGTTCGGCCCAGGACGTGAAGGCCGAGGTCCAGACCATGGCCGGCGTCCTCCTGCCCCTCTCTGAGAAGTACCGCCTCCTGGGGGCGGAGACCATGTTGAGGGAGAACACGGCGTGCAGCAGCACACTGGAGGTGCATCAAAGCTTGAATACATACGTCTCAGAAACCTGTGCATCTTCTCCTGAAAGGAAAGCGTCTCTTCCTGTTAGGAGCATGAAGGAACATCGAGGTGGATTTGGATCTGATTCATTCCCGCTGGCTCAAAGCCACGGAACGATCCTTTAATGGTCCAATTTAAAGAGATTTAAGAGTTTTAATGAATCAAGTTTACACTCGGTGATGTCAAATCTTTCCTGTGATGTCTGGTGACTTTGGGATTTATCTTAATTAAATGTTTTGTAGGTCAATACGTTCTAAAAAATGATCTCAAATCCCTGTTTTTTAAAATAATTTATTTATGTTTGTATTGTAGTTGAGGACTTGAAATCAATATTTCTTCTCTTCAGTGAGTTGTTACCCCCCCCCACACCCACTGTTTCCTCCTCAGGTCCTGGAATCCTTGAGCAGACTGGTCAAGGCCTTGAGCATCCTGGAGAAGTACGGCTGTAACCTGACGAGTCCCGCCCGGCCCAGATACTGGAGGAGCGTCAAGCACAACAACCCCGTCTTCAGGAGCACCGTGGACGCCGTGAAGGTGAGTAGAAGCACCTCCCCCCCGCCCGCCCCCCCCCTCCGCGTCAGAAGGGCTACTCAAGAGTGTGACCCCCCCCCAGGGAGGCCGGGCCGTCCTGTTCCTGTACGGGTACACCAGCCAGCAGGCGGATGGCCTCAGCTTCCCCGACGACGTCAGCCAGCCGGACGCGGCGCACGTGGCGGCGGTGACGCTGGAGGTCATGACCTTGCGCACGGAGGTGGACATGCTGGTGAAGGTGCGTGCTGCTTCGGTTGGTAGAAGCCTGGAGGTCAGCTGGGGGCTAAAAGGTTCCTTTTGTTCCTTCTTTAGGGAACCCATCCTCACCCGGAGAGCTTCAGAGACGTCGTCCCCTTCCTCGTCCCGCCGGTCCGTACCAACGCGCCCACGCCGCTGCCATGTCATTCAAAGTCACGCCTTCTTGTTGGGGCCGTGTTAAAAATAAACCGTATTATTGACTTAATAACATTAAAACATCTCTACAGTTTTAACCCGTTCAACAGGTCACATGACATTAAAAAAGTCACTATATCCTTCCTTTCCTGTTTTTGTTTCAAAATAAAAGCCCTCCTGCTATATACACACATATATATATATGTTTGTGTGTATATGTTTATACGTATATGTGTGTATCAATGAGAAGTATTGATTGATATATGTGTTCCTGTGTGCGTTGACGTGCAGGAGGAGCTGGTGCCGGAGGTGCCGGAGGCGCCGGAGGTGCCGGAGGTCGTCGGCGTCCCGAGTGGAGACCAGCAGCCGGGGGAAGAACCCAGGATCCCGTCTCCACCCCCTCAGCCCCCCCTGGGCTCTGGAGGAGAACCCCTGAGACCCTCGACAGGTGAGCGCCCCCCCATAGGGGACTGTAGTCTGTGCGGCGCCGCCCCGTCGCTGGTCTGCCCGTCATGTGACGGTCAAGCTTTCTGCGACGCCTGCGACGACCTCTTCCACCGACACCCCTCCAGGGACCAGCACAAGAGGGACCAGCTGCAGCAGCCCCCCCCAGGTAGGTCAGGCCCCCCCCCAGGCTGCAGAGTCAGGAGTGCTTCCATATTCTTCTACTCGTTCCTCTCCGTGTCTCCGCAGGAATCTGCACCATCTGCGGGACCTCGGCCGTGCACGCCCAGTGCTCCACCTGCAGCCAGAAGCTGTGTGAGAACTGTGACCAGCTCTTCCACTCGCACCCCGACCGCCGGGGGCACAGCCGGAGCCTCGTGGCAGCCCCCAAAGCCTCCAGGTGAGGAGGGACCAAGAAAAGAGCCGCGAGGAGCCAAAAAGATCATTTAATGCAGAAAAGTGTTTGTAGCTGTGATGAATCTAGTTAGACTTTTTAAACTTTCTTCACGTTTTCTTTTATATTTCATTTGATGACAGGATGCAAAGTAACTTCCTCCAGAACATTTGAATTGTTTTTCTTTATTTTACTTTTATTTTCAGTTAAATTCTTAAGGATACTTTAGTCGATTGGCTGTTTTTGACAGAAGATTAAAAGTAGAAACGTTTTCACAGAATCTTCTGTATAGTTTTGGTTGAAGGAAGCTGATTGGTCCTCTCTGTGTCAACACATCTGTATCCACATGTTCAGCCCCTCCCTCTCCCCGTGGCAGTGCGCCCGCTGCACCACGGTCAACGCCACGCGGGCCGTCCTCTGCGCCACCTGCGAGCGCCCGCGACTCGCCGCCGCGCAGGAGACCCCGCCCCCCGTGCCCCCGTCTCCCAACACGGGTGAGACTCCCGACCCGACTTCACTCACTCAGCCGCTTTCAGAATAAAGGTGACTGAGCGAACGCCCCCCCCCCCCCCCTCAGAGTGGCGCTGCAGGAGCTGCACGGTGGTGAACCAGGGCAGCAGCATCCTCTGTGAGGTGTGTGAGCGTCCCCGTCTGGCCACCCGCCCCCCCGCCGCTCCGCTGCCAACCAGCCCGGGAACGCCGCCCGAGTCCGGAGACAAGGTTTGACCCCTTGAAGCTCTGAAGAACGTTGTAGTTTTGTCGATCGGTGAAGGTAAACCATCTGCCCCCCCCTCCCTCAGTGGATGTGCCAGTTCTGCACCTACGTGAACGCCAGCCCCGCCGTGGTGTGCGAGATGTGCAACCTCGGCGGGTCCCCCCCGGCGTCCCTGCAGCAGACCCCGGCCGGCGCCAAGGACCAAGCGGCGTCGCCCCCGAGGCCCCAGCCGAAGGCCCGGGTGGACGTGGAGGTGAAGAGGCAGAAGATGATGAGGGACGACGGCCTGCGCCTCGTCCAGCAGATCAGAGTAGGTCACCGTGACAACTGTTGCTAAGCTCAGGGGTCTGCGGCAATACGAGTGAATCAATAAAGGAGCCAACATGGAGGTTCACCCCGCGTCTCCTGCACAGGAAGCGGAGAAGCGCGGCGTTAGCGCCGAGGAGGTGTACGCCGCCATCGGCATGTGCGGCGGCAGCAACACCACGAGCCCCTGTGATTGGCTGACGTCGGAGCTGCCTCACCTGCTGGACGAAATCTGCGCCATGGCAGCTTCCGTCCAGGTGGAGAGAGACGGCGAGGGGGCGGAGCCGAGCGCTCCCGTTGTCAAGGGCGACGGCGCCAAGCTCTCCAGAGCCGAGGCCAAGCTGGCCTGGTTGTCGGCGGGAGGAGACACCAACAAGGCCGTGACGCAGCTGCTGAGAGACCGACAGGTCAAGGTGGGACAACGGCTGCATTCTCTGTAGTGACCAGCAGGGGGCGACGCCGCTGCTCCCATAGACGTCTATGAGGAAATGACTCTACTTCTCTGTAGTGACCAGCAGGGGGCGACTCCTCTGCTCCCATAGACGTCTATGAGGAAATGACTCTACTTCTCTGTAGTGACCAGCAGGGGGCGACTCCTCTGCTCCCATAGACGTCTATGAGGAAATGACTCTACTTCTCTGTAGTGACCAGCAGGGGGCGACTCCTCTGCTCCCATAGACGTCTATGAGGAAATGACTCTACTTCTCTGTAGTGACCAGCAGGGGGCGACTCCTCTGCTCCCATAGACGTCTATGAGGAAATTACTTGATTTATTCCCTCAGTAAACATTGTAAACATGAGTTCATGGTCTCAGTCTCTGGTTTCACGTCTTATTCAACACAGCATGACGTTCTTTTGTATGAGCATCAAGCGGCGCCGTAGGAGGTCGGCGTAGCGGCGCCGCGTGAGTCTTTGCGCATTGGAGCTGATCCGTGTCCCGTGCTTGGTGCAGATGAAGGAGCTCCACTCTCTGGGCTTCAGGGAGGCGTCTCGCTGCGAGGAGGCGCTGAGGCTGAGCGGCGGCGAGGTGAAGGGGGCTTTGTCTCTGCTGCAGCGCCCCCTGCTGGAGCCCTTCCACCAGCGGATCTGGACCGACCAGCCGGAGCCGCCGATCGACCCCCAGCACCCGGACAAACAGGTGTGTTCACAGCAAAGACGGAACAGGAAGTCCAACGCGTCGCGTCTACGTACACGTGGCGTTAAAGACGGATACCTACAGCTCCACCCGCTCGTCCCACGGCTCCACCCTTTTGTCCTCTTAGGATTCCTCACAGTCTGTCTCTGTTGTCTCCTCGCCTCCTCCCGTCTCCCCTCAGAGGACATGCAGGCGTCTGCTGGCGCTCTACGAGCTGCCCAGCTGGGGGCGCTGCGAGCTGGTCCTCTCGCTGCTGCAGGAGCCGGGCGTCACCTTCTCGCTGGAGGACGTGGTGCAGGCCGTGAAGGAGTCGCACGACAAGGACTTCATCAAGCGCCTCCTCATCAACGAGTGCCCCTGCTGCCTGAGCCCCTTCCCCCGCAGCAAGGTGGGGGCGCGCCGCACCACACGGTTCTACGCATGAAGCGACGGATTAGAATTAGAACGTAGACAAAGATAAACTACCAGAGCAGGAAAATACAAAAAAGTCTCAACAAAGTGCAGTTTGAGAAATATGAAGCAAGAAAAACACCAAAACAAGCAAAAGGAATATGTGGGTAAATAAAGACATGTAATTATATGAGCTGTAATTTGACCCCCCCCCCCCCTTCAGATGCAGTCCCTGACCTCCTGCCAGTGCTCCGTGTGCCACGAGTGCTTCAGGCTCCACTTCACCATCGCCGTGCGGGACAAACACATCCGGGACATGGTGTGTCCCGTCTGCAGCGAGCCGGACATCAACGACCCGCAGCAGCTGGACAGCTACTTCTCCACGCTGGACATCCAGGTGAGGCGGGCAGGGCGTGGTCCTCGCTCGCACCCGAAGCGGTTTAAAGGGGGACCGTTGAACGCCTTTATGGGCTCCTTTCACCAGATTCTGTAAAAACACAAAAGTCTGAGCGCCTCAGTGAAACTATGACGTCACGATCGATTAATGAGAACAAGTCATGTGACCATGAAGCTGTGAGTGGACCTCAGGAAGTGACCACAGAGCAGAAATTATATCAGATGTTACTAATTATGACTCACTTGTCTGTGTAGTTCACACAAGGAATAGAAATAACTAATAAAATGTCCTTTTTTGTTTGTCTTTGTCTTCCAGCTGCGTAACTGTCTTCAGCCGGACGAGTACGAGCTGTTTCACAAGAAGCTGACGGAGCACGCGCTGATGAAGGACCCCAAGTTCCTGTGGTGCTGCCACGTGAGTCCACGCATTCATGTTGTTGTTGTAAATAAGAATATTTTATTGTCATTAATAATATTATGATGTTCCTGTTGACGTCCCCCCCCCCCCAGTAGATGCTTGTATTAAAATTAGACAAGCTGTGTGGCCTTTTTAAATGATAAGAGGATATTCAATCAGATACCCTAAAAAGTGGATTATTTACCTGCTTCATCCTCTATTAAAGGTAACTCATATGTTTGTTAATATAGTTCAGTTTGCAACCTGATAAATATGCATGTGTCTGCCACAGTCCACTTTTAGCTTTGTAACTCAATAGAAACTGGGATGTGTTTAAACAACTGCCGTATTTTACTCCTAAAGCAGCTTGAGACATTAAATTTTTGTTACTAATACATTTACCGCATCAGTAAAAGGTCCCGCCATAGCCAACAGGGGGACTGCATTGGCTCGCGCATCGATTAAAATACCATCAATATCACACAACCGCTCTGGAAGGCGAAAAGCGCACCGAAGAAAAAAGAACTTTGGCTTACTT